TCTACTCATAATGTAAGTTTTTAAAAAAAATATTTCTTCCAACTTACATTTCTTCCCCCTTTTCTCATCAAATACTCAGTTGAGCACAGTAATTGGCTAGGACATCTATATCCCCCTTCAAGTACAGTTTGAGATGAACATGGGATGGACTCATATAACTTTCCTACTGGTAGCGGTCTGGTGCATGTAAATGCTCAAAAAATGGTGGTTCCATTTCCTTTGTCCATTCCCACTAGGTTGTCCCAAAGTATCATCTAGTTTCAGCACCATGAGATGCAAAATAAGAAGCCTTTCTGAAGCAGCAGGTATCTCTAGTCCCAAACATTTTACCCAAATTGGTTGTATGGTGTATGGTTTCCTTTAAATTTATTCATTCAATTTATCTACAAGTAGCTCTTGCCAAATATTGTAGTTGTATTTATACATTGAAAAGACACCAAATAATGTTTTATGGTTTTGTGAAATTAACTTTACAAAGTCTGTGCTAATGAATTCAAGGGGTGCTTTGACAACAAGCTATTTGGGGATAACTGATAGGACACTTAATTTAGCATGCGTCATCCTCCATTATTTTCTAGCAGTATGATACTTTATCACTTAGAAGGTGGACTTTCATATAGTTGAAACTAGAAAGTCCTAATGCCTTCACTGAATTCCCAGATGAAGACTGCTATAAAGATAAAATTTTCTAATCAATTTATCTTGCTAAGTGATTGCTATCATCCTAATCAGTTTGTACTAAGTTGACCAGGGTTGCAGCCTTCTATAGGAAAATCAGATATGGTACCACACATTGTGTGTATTGCTTAAGTAATCTCAGTTCTTTTTGCATTTGTGAAACCCAAAGCAGAAAGAAGTGAGGGCAAGTGTTGCTTCATTACTCATCCTCACTTAGTGGGGCCAGCTAATTGTGTTGAACTGGGTGCTAATCTCTTCTCACTGGGAAAAACAGGAGCCGCGGATCCTTGAAATAGAAGTTGTGATCTATAGAGAAATGGTGTTGAGGATGATTCTATGAAGAGAATTGCCTAGAGCACTTTACAAGCAGCAGTCAGTAGGTGAAAACTAGTAAACAGAAAGTGGCAGAGTGACTGTGGGAACTTAGGATACTGTAGAGATCATAATGCTATGGATCTTGTGCTGAACAGAACCCCTATCCTAGGGCATGGCTGTCAGTGGCCCCTAAATTGAGGGGAAGGAGTCTGCAGAATAATTCCAGTGTTTTTCTTTTCTTTTTTTTTTTTTTTTTTTGCGGTACCGGGGATTGAATTCAGGCCCTTGCACTTGCCAGGGAAGTGCTTATTCCACTGAGCCATCTCCCTGGCTTCACCAGGGTTCTTTTCATCTGGCTCAATCATCTCAGACTCAGAGATCCTCCTGTTTCAACCTCCTCAGCCCATGGATTACAGGCGTGCACCACCACGCCTATTCTTGGCTAGTTCAACACAATTAGGATGGGGACAGCAAGGCAATATAGTACCGGGATTGAGTTCCAATCCTTGCACTTGCCTACGCAGGCACTTAGGCTGCTGAGCTGTCTCTCTAGGCCTGCCATCTTTTCATGACAGCACACTTGCTTTCTCTTCTTGTGACACATCAGAGACAAACCAGGTCTAGATTTGTTGCTATACCTAATAGCCTATTCCAGATTTCCTTCTATGTGCAGTGTTCTAAAAATGAAATATCAAGGGGCTATTCCCTGAACTTCTAATCTTTAATTATGCCTCAAAAATAGCTCTTAGAGTTGTACATATTAGGTAAAGAAAACTTCCATAGATTTAATGAGGAAAATGTAGAATACTAAGCAAAATATAATTGTATAAAAATATAACAGAGGAAATATAAAAATATATGCTGAATTATTAACAGTGCCTGTAGACACAGGGCAAATTAAAGGTTTTCATTTTAAGTGATTGGCTAATTAAAATTTCACACACACTCAATATAGTACCTGTGAGCCATAAGGCTAGATAGCACAGTAGACAAATTCCAGTAAATCTCCTATTCTTTCTGAATTCTATTATAAAGTAAGTAATGGCATCAAATAATGTGAATTATAAGGAGGGAAACCAGTGTGAGGCATAAGTAGAGTGGTTCTGCTGCCGGCTTGATTGGCTAAAGGAGCACTTTCCAAAATGGCTTCATCTGAGTGGACACTGATGCTCAGAGGAGCCTCTGGGAGGAAGGTGAGAAGAGCTCTAGAGGCTTTGGTGGCTGGGGCTTTGGAGTCTACCTCAGATGCTATAAGAAGGTAAGGGAGCAACTTTTCCATCACAGTGGAAGCACCCGACCTTCTGAAGGTCACATGGGTCACACTGCTTATCAGGAAGCCAAGAGCAACAGGCAGCGACCCTCCTGGTCACAGAGATCTGTGCAGGGAAGCGGGGTGGCGTGAGAGGGAGGGGGCGATGGGTGGGAAGCAGGGCTCAGGCAGAGCTCCCGGGCTTTGCTGATGAATCTCATTATATGTGTGAGTGACCTTTTAGGGTAGGAGGCTACACATTGCCTTACCAGAATCATGTCTATAGAGCTTTACTGCTTTTTTTATTTTTTATTTTTTGTATTTTAGGGAAGGGTCTACAGGGTGTTCAGGGTCTCACTACTAGATCAGACTTGTAGTGATCTGCCTTTTTACAGCCTCCCAAGAGCTGGGATTACAGGCAAGTGCCACCACGCCCAGTCTCAATTGCTGTCTCAGCATGACTGGGCAATAGGGAGGAGGGGACACGGCAGGCCCAGGGATTGAACCCCCAAGCCCTGCGTCTACTTGCATGCGCTTTAATCTGCTGAGCTATTTGGCCAGCCCTACTGTTTATGTTTTGGGAGGAAAAATATTTCCTTTCATATAATAGAGTGCATTCTAATACTTTTTTTTTATAATTTTCTTTAGTGACTTAGACATAACTGATTTTCCAATATTAAAGCAAAAGAGCTTTGAAATCATCCTTACTTCTGAGCTTCTAATCTCTACCTTGGGATCAGTGGCTTGTCAGTTTACAGATAGGCTGGCTGACATGTTTGCTAAGTGCAGTTCCTGCAGAGGGACTCAAGAGATACACCAGGCACAGTGTTCCAAATCTCAAAACACACTTCGCAGTTCTTTTATATGACCCTAATTATTCACCAAGAAAACTTAGCATAGCTATTTCACTTAACACATACCAATTAGCCTGTGCAATGATATTGAAATCTATTCCCAGTACCACATCCTGTCTAATCGGAACATGTACATATTTTTGGAAATATTAATAAAGTTTCAAGTGGTTGGCGAACTATAGAACATGCCTACACTTCATGGCCTTGATCTAAGAATGGTTTTTACATTACTTGTAAAAAAGGAAAGAAAAGTGATGGGGAAGTATAATATTTACTACCAAGCCCTTCTCTAGCTAGTTCTCCAATACACTTAGCGGGAAATTCTCAAGCACCAGTGAATTATCAATCACCAGCAAATTAAATGAGTTTAACACAAACAAGGTAATTAATCTAAAATACAATGAGTAACAAAAGCAGATGACTTTGCCAATCAATTTATCAGCATTGGAGAACCAAGAATGAAGGGCAATGCATACAACAGGGGATATTTTAAATGCTGAAAGTTCTCTCTTCATTCCGGAACAGAATGAAGCCCTGATGACCCATGTTGTACCATACCTCATTGCTCATTGTACAGTGAAGTCTCCTCGGTGACAATGAGAATATTTACAACACTGACCCTCTCTGAGTCTGGTTCAGTGTAGCATGGGTTCCAGTGAAATTTTATCAATAATCATTATGTGACTGGACTCATTTGCTATTTAAATGACTGAACCTTCTGGTTCCATTTTAGGAGACAGACAAGGACGTGAGGTTATTGTCAGAGCAGGAGTCACACTCATTTAATACAGCTGAAGCCTTAGATGGCACTCAGGTAACATCAGCCACCTGCCCTAAATTACAAAATTTCATTGACTGCACTAATCAATACATGTGATGCAAATGATACTTGGGGTACTTTCATGCTAGTCTTTGCTTGCAGGTGGATAGAGATTAATCTCAGCCAGAAATCACCACATATTGGCTAAACAGCAAATTTACACACACACACACACACACACACACACACACACACCTCTTAAGAAATAAAAAACCAAATACACCAATAAAAAACTCCACTCAAAAAAACTGTTTTTGATAATACTAGTTAATAAAAGTAAGGTATATAGGAATTACTTCTAACATGATAAAAAAGAAAAATCAGGCAAAGAGAAACACTTAAAGCTTGTGCTTAACCAAAATGCTTTAGAATTCCATTGCAGAAATGCAATCTTCGTTCCACTATTTCATTAATATGTCGTTTTGGACGTATTCTCTAAGCCTCTGTTCTTTCTCTGTAAAATAAGGGCAATAATAGTTGCCTCTTGCGTGAGCCAATTTGTGATCTAAATCAGATAATGCACAGAAAACAGAAATATACTTTAAACAAGTATATTTGCCAGTAATTAGCTAAGTACCACTTCAAATCATAGATGTTAGTAATGAATTGATTCTAACCAACAATGTCTACATAGTCCAGGCTGGTAAAGAAAAACAAAATGCTAATTCTTAGTTCTGTATTTCCAAAGATGGCTTTCAAACACTTGACAATAGCCATGTTACTTAGCATTTATATTGGGCTTCAATGTTTTCAAGATTCAATGTTTTTTGCCTGGTTTGCAGCATGGCCTATGTAGATGGTGAGCTCCAATTGCTACCCTCCATTTGCCAGGAAAAGACGGAGGCTCAGAGAGGTCAAACACTTGCTTATAGAGCCATGGCTATGATTACAATTCGAACATTCAGATCCTTTAGCATGAGTCAATAGCAACATAAATTCTCCCAAATTTAGATTTATGAGG